AGCAAATTCTGGAGAAAATATACTCCTCACAAAGCTTATTGGAACAAACAGCAACAGAAGCTTGAACTGCTGTACAACCCTATTTTGACCTTGCTTTCCAATATGACTGTGGAAGAGAACTTGGTTTCTAACTCGAGTGTTCTCAGTTCCTGTGACCCTGACCCATGGGTAGCTTCAGAGGTTAGTGACTTTGCAACCTTGCCAGACAGATTCAAAGACTTTCTACTTTATTTGAGGTGTAGAAATTATTCATTATTAATGGATCAGCCAAACAAGTGCAAACATAAACCTTTCCTGCTGCTGGCTATTAAGTCACTTACACCCCATTTTGATAGAAGGCAAGCAATTAGGGAATCTTGGGGCAAGGAAATAAAATTGGGGGATGTGACAGTCAAAAGGGTCTTTTTACTTGGACAGACTCCACCAGAGGATAATTTTCCTGATCTTTCAGACATGATAAAATTTGAGAGTGAAACCCACCAAGACATTCTCCTTTGGAACTACAGAGACACTTTCTTCAATTTAACTCTGAAAGAGGTGCTGTTCCTCAAGTGGGTCAGCAGCAGTTGCGCAGATGTCCAGTTTATTTTTAAGGGTGATGATGATGTTTTTGTGAATACCCATCAGATCCTGGATTACTTGAAGAGCTTATCAAAGGACAAAGCCAAAGACTTATTTATAGGCGATGTGATCAAAGATGCTGGACCTCATAGAGAAAAAAAATTGAAGTACTACATCCCAGAAAGTGTTTATGAAGGTTCGTATCCTCCATATGCAGGAGGCGGTGGGTTCCTGTACTCTGGTGATCTGGCATTAAGACTGAATAATGCATCTGACCAGGTACTCCTTTACCCTATCGATGATGTTTATACTGGAATGTGCCTTCAGAAGCTTGGGCTTGCTCCGGAAAAACACAAAGGCTTCAAAACATTTGATATCGAAGAGAAATACAGAAATAACATATGTTCCTACACAAACTTAATGTTAGTACATAGTAGAAAACCTCAAGAAATGATTAAGATTTGGACACACTTGCAAGATCCACACTTAAATTGTTGAAGTAATGTGCATAAGTGTCTTAAGTCCAAAGAACTTCCCAAGTTTGGGTATGACTTTCTTGCTGGACCATTGAAGCTCTGTTTAATAGTTTAATTTTCTCTGAAACTTTCCTGTACTTTTGAAAATGAGAATAATACTAAAATTTGAGGGGATGGCTTGAAGACTTGGTCCTGACTTTTCCACTGTCCTGGTGGTCATTATGTTTCAATATTTGTCTTAATTTTTAAAAGGACT